AGGCCTACAAAATACCTAATAAATTAGACCAGAAAAGAAAATCCTACTGCCACATGATAATCAAAACAGTAAGTATACAGAACAAAGAAAAAATACTGAAAGCTGCAAGGAAAAAAGGCCAAGTAACATAATGGCAAACCAATCAGAATCACACCTGACTTCTCAACAGAGACTTTGAAAGCAAGAAGGGCCTGGACTGATATAATGCAGACCCTAAGAGAACACAGATGTCACCCCAGGCTACTATACCCCACAAAACTCTCAGTTCTATAAGGGTAAAAATTCAATTCACAAATCCTTAACTTGCCAAACACTAAAAATAATTTATTTGAAGACAGTATGTTTGTGCCAGACAGGACCACATTTCAGCCTATCCTTATAAAAACTACATTTCTGGGCTTTGGGGAATGGAGGGTAAATAGTTCTGCTGTGGAGAGATAAATAACACTTTTGTTTTACATAGAGCAGATTACTGAAGCACTATCAGAATTGGACATCTCATCCCAGTCAGAATAGCCAAGATCAAGAAAACAATGACAACAAATGTTGGCAAGGATGTGGGGAAAGGGAAAAATCATTCACTGTGGTGGGATAGAAAACTAGTCAAGGCCCTCTGAAATCACTGTGGAGAATTCTCAGAAAGCTTGATGTAGACATATACAACATGACTCAGCTATTCCACACCTTGGCATACACCCAAGGACTTGACATTATACTCCACAGATACTTGTTCAACCATGTTCAAAGCTGCCCTATTCATAATAGCTAAAAAATGGAAACACTTTAAATGCCCTTCAAGTAATGAAATAATGAGAATGTGGCATATATACACAACAGAACACCACTCAGCTCTAAAGAAAAAAAATATCGTGAACTTTTTAGGTAATAGGTGAAACTAGAATAAATTATACTAAGGGAGGAAACCCAAAAAAACAAACAAACAAACAAAAACCATCTTGTTTTGCATTTATCTCATCTGTGATTCCTAACTCCAAATCTTCAGCTATGACTGAGAGTGGGAAAGAAGAATACAAGTGAAATATAGGGGAAAACGAATAAAATGGGGTTAAGTGTTTAATTTGGAAAAAAGGGAGGGAAAGAAAACAGAAGGAAAGGGAGGAAAGGGGTATAAATAATGCTATGGATGTTTACAATATCCATAGAAAAAAATAATAAATAAATAAATTTGATTGTTATTCCAGGGTCAGATAATGTCACATGAGAACCATTTCATTAATGTATGCTAACTGCCCAGCCCCTCAGGGTTTCACTTTGTGCTCTTTGTATGCATGAACATCTGGAACAACTGACCCTATGTCACTAAAGTGTGGTATAGATTGCATCATCTCTTTTGCAAGTCTTTATATAAAGACACTTCCTTCTGTCCAAATGATACAGCAAGCCTGCAGCCTTTAGCCCTCAGCACTGTCTCAAAACACCAATAAGGTTTTATAAAATAAATAAAAGTAAAGGTGATAAAGTTCCTTTGAGGCTATGCAAAAGTGACTGGGTACTGTATTGAACAGATCTTTACTGCAATACTCACTAGTCTTCATTAGTAGCAAATAAAAAAAAAAAACTTAACCATCTAAGCTATACATTTTAAAGTAAACAGTTATAAAATTCAAAATTTAGAGCAAAGATGAAACATACGATCCAAAATAAAATATGAGTACATATGTAAAAGAAGAATAATGAATCAAACATAAACTGTGATTTCCACATAAAATTAATTATAACTTTTGGAATAGAAATGCTTCTAGAACTCTCTAAATAGCAAACTTTTTTAATGTCTTTATCCTTAATAAACACCATACAATCAACATTGCTATGAAAGTGCCAAGAAAAATTTGAAAATAGATCAATGTATTAGATACAAATGTTGTTTTAAGTAAATCTGAGATATATCTATTTAGTTATGATAAATAAAATAAAATCGTACCTGAAACAATTTTTCCTTTTGGCCCATGCCATTGGAATGATGGGTCTACCAGCTCAGTGTTTCTCAGTTCTTCGGTTGCACAGAGTATATGTGGACTCTTTTGATGGAGCATGACATATACGCTCACTGAAAAGACATTATTAAAATGTTCCAATAATATTTATGCTCTTTAATTGTCTAATAATACCTTATATTTTGTAGCTTGTGTTACATTCTCTGACATTTCTTTGGTTCCTATTAGTTAATGGTAACTTGATTTCAATGTCTCCAGTGAATTACATTGAAAAGTAAATAGTGTATTTTATTTGAATGTGTAGGTACCTACAGTCACTCATATGTGACAGTATGGGTCCTAAACACAAATGCAATGTGTTGGTCATTTTTATTCAGGGTGCATATAAAGTGACCCAGTTTAATCTCAAAGTATAACTATAATAACAGTATTAACATGATTTTCTATCTGGACTTAATATATTTTACAAAAACATCAAATACAAAAACATAGTGCATATAGGCATCCAGAAGAGAGGAATAATTTATTATTTGAAAATACAGCATAGTATACTAAATAGAAGTAATAATGTGGTTTAAAAGTTACTATATATATATAATTATTGACTTTTAACAACTATGCATTTTGTCAGACTCTGCTTAAAAAGAACCATGATAAACCAAGATTGTTTTTTTAATTAATTAATTTTTTAATTAATTACAATTTATTCATTTTGTATCCCAGCTGTAGCCCCCTTCTTCATCCCCTAATCTCATCCTCGCCCTCCCTCTTCTTCTGCCATGTTCTTCCCCTAATCCACTGATAGGGGAGGTCCTCCTCCCCTTCTACCTGACCCTAGCCTATCAGGTCTCATCAGGACTGGCTGCATCGTCCTCCTCTGTGGCCTGGAAAGGTTGCTCCCCCATCAGGGGGAGGTGATCAAAGAGCCAGTCACTGGGTTCATGTCAGAGACAGTCCCTGTTTCCATTACTAGGGAACCCATTAAACCAAGATTCTTTTTTTTTTTCTTTAGGATATATCTTTTTTTTTTTTTCTTATTAGTTACATTTTGTTAACTCTGTGTCCCAGCTGTATCCCGTTCCCTCATTCCCTCCCCAACCCCACACTCCCTCCTTGGTCTCCTCCCTGCCCCTTTCCAAGTCCACTGATAGGGGAGGACCTCCTCCCCCTTCATTTGACCCTGTTTTATCAGGTATCTTCAGGGCTGGCTGCAAAGTCCTCCTCTGTGGCCTAACAGGACTGCTCCTCCCCTGGGGGGGGGGGGCGGGTGAGGAGGTCAAAGAGCCTGCCCTTGAGATCCTAAAACCAAGATTCTTTAGGAGACACAAGAGGAGCACATTCAAAGATTCAGTTGTTCTGAATGTACTCAGAACTATTCCAATAACCAACCCATCAGGAGCTGCATGCCAATGCTTCTCTCATTCCCCAGAGCCAAGATATTTTTTGTGACCCAATAAAATAAAAGTTACTTTTGGTAATCAAAATTCTTAGTATTGAAAACTCTATATTTTACCACAAAAAACATGTTTTAATTATTTCATGATCTTCCACCAGTTACAAAATCTTGCCTCTATTCTTGGGTATTTGTTTTTATCATGAATTGGTATTGAATTTTAATTTTTTTCTTTCTTAAAGTTTTTCTTCATATTTTGATTTCATGATTGATGTTCACTCATAGATTGTTTTCCTCTAAGTCTGATTAATTGTGAATTTACTTAATAATTATTATATCCAATTTACCACTCTGTTTATAAATATAGCCATGTATACTTTTCTTATATTACCCCTTTGGTGTATTTTACTATTTTAAGCATTTACTATCATTAAATATTTAATTTTCAACATTGTTAATATTTATTGTTAATATACTAACCATTTAGGATCATGACCACATGAACATTACTTGGTCTATTTCCTTCTATAACCTATCTCTGTAAGAATGTATGCCTTCCCAGGTCATTTCTTTTACATTTTGGTAAGGGGAGGGAGCTCTGGAAAATGCAGTACGGATCACACTAAGTTTGAAAATAATAGCTACTATTCTAATGAATAATTTAATAAAATCTAGTTTAGAAAATTTCCAGCTATCCAATTTTATATAAAAATATAAATTACTCAGAGTAAGTTAAAGGTTGTATTTGACTCTCTTCTGGCTGCCATGTTCTTTGCTCTATCTTCTGCCTGTATCTCACCACACTATTCCACACCCTGTGTTCTTTCCAGACTATAGCTGTACGTCCTCAGGATCACCCTTTCTGATTTTATTCTCATAATTACCTAGTGTCTCTTAACCTTTGGAAATGAGTGGCAGTCTCTCCTGCTCTGGCTCAATGACAGAACATGATGTGATTTGCCTGTAAGCCTTCCACTAATTCTTGTGAATCAATCCCAGAAACTTCAACTGAGTTGAAGAGTTTCTCAGCACTATTAATAGACCAAAATAATATTCCATGACATCAACAATCAATATGAACATAACATTTTCAGAGTAAACAGATGTTAGCTACTAATGACCTCCGTGAAGAACATCTTCTGCTTCCAGAAAAAGGTAATTAGAACACACTGTTATAATCATAGGAATATAGAGTTTGAATTTTTCTGGAACATTTCAGTAGCAGTTTAGAAAACACAACAAATAAGGTAACAATTCATGGTTGTGTGGTTTTTCCTCATAAAAATTTATTCAACATTTATTTATTTCAGAGAGCTACACAGAAAATAACTGGAGTGAACATATCAACATTTCTTATTTATTCACCACTTTACTCTCTCTGTAATACACACATATATCTCGAGAGTTATCAATAATAACTAATCAATACTTGCCAATATAATCATACATGTTATTTGAAGTGAAGGCTTCAAAGATTCCCTTTTCTTTGTAAGTATATTCAAATACCAACTCTCACTTGAGGAATAAAACTTTATTTTTGTATAATGACCTGCAGACAATAAGACTAGGTCTCTCGGGAGACAGCTTTCTATAATGTAAAGACAGATAACATGGCCTATGGTTCTTCATATACAGAAATGTTGAAAAGTATAGAATGTTACTTGTGCAAGTCAAACTCTGATACCATATAAATGTTAGCAGCTTTTCCATTAAGTAAAAAGCTCTTCCATGGCTACAACGGAAGAATGCCACAGCTGATAGGTCCCAAAAGTAATGGAATACAATTACAATGTTTAAATATATTTCATTACCATACTCAGAATATAATCAACACAGCTGCAAGCAACATCTCAGAGTGTTTGTTTTAAAAAATTTTTTAATTTTAATTTTAAAATGTATTTATACTCAGCTCCAAGATGGTGGCCACCAGTGCTCAGGGTTTCTGAAAGCAGAAGATCTGAAACTCCAAAACTGGTGAGTAGATAGGCGGCTGAAGCAAGAACATGGACTTTGAGGGGACAACCTGTGACCTGGGACAGATTGGATCCAGACCTCCTGTGGACATTTCCAGAGGTCTCAGAGTGGCGAACATTCACCCCTGCATCTCAACTGCACATTCACTTACTCCAGCAGTGCAACAGCAGCAGCAAGGAGCACGTAACCCAGGTACAGGGCACCTCCTTACTCTAACAGTGACCCACATCTAAGAAGAGAAAACTGTGGGCTCTCTAAGTTTACTACTTATGCCTACCAGTGAGTTCACAGGCCCTCTAGGCTTGCCACACACGCCTGCAAGTGAATATTCGCAGTGCCTACTAGTGATTTCTTCTGCTAGAAATACAGAGCACCACTGGGATGCCTCTACACTAACAGCCAGACATCTGATCCCTCCCACCCACACCCCCGCAGTGGGCAACAGAGGGATCTCTGAGACAGCCTTCTGAACACTGAAGCCCCTGTTCTGTGCGTTTTCCACTGGATTCAGGGAAACAATTCCTGGGACAAGATGGTGCAGCTTAGGCAGATATGAGTACTTGGAGCACAATACCTCCACAGTTTTTGATCTTAGCCATTCTGATGAGAGTAAGGTGAAATCTCAGGGTAGTTTTGATTTGCAATTCCCTGATGAGTAAGGACGTTGAACATTTCTTTAAGTGTTTCTCTGACATTCAATATTCCTCTACAGAGAATTCTCTGTTTAAGTCCATACCCCATTTTTTAATTGGATTGCTTGATTTGTTGCTGTTTACCTTCTTCAGTTCTTTATATATTCTGTATATTAGCCCTCTGTCAGATATAGGGTTGGTGAAGATCCTTTCCCAGTCGGTAGGCTGTTGTTTTGTTCTGATGACAGTGTCTTTTGCTTTACAGAAGCTTTTCAGTTTCATGAGGTCTCATTTATTCATTGTTCCTCTGAGAGCCTCTGCGGTTGGTGTTCTGTTCAGGAAGTTGTCTCCTGTGCCAATGAGTACCAGGCTCTTCTCCACTTTGAGAAAGAGGAACGCTTCTCCATTGCTGATGGGAATGTAAACTTGTACAACCACTTTGGAAATAAACCTGGCACTTTCTCAGACAATTAGGAATAGTGCTTCCTCAAGATCCAGCTATACCACTCCTAGGCATATATCCAAAAGATGCTCAAAGTACACAACAAAGATATTTTCTCAACCATGTTCATAGTAGCTTTACTCGTAGTAGCCAGAACCTGGAAACAACCCAGATGTCCCTCAACAGAGGAATGGATACAGAAATTGAGTAAATTTACACAATGAAATATTACTCAGCAATTAAAAACAAGGAAATCATGAAATTTTCAGGCAAATGGTGGGATCTAGAAAATATCATCCTGAGTGAAGTATCCCAGAAGAAAGACACACACAGTATATACTCACGTATAAGTGAATACTAGACCTATAAGATAGATAAACAAACTAAAGTCTGTACACCTAAAGAAGCTAAACAAGGAGGAGGACCCGGGGTAAGATGATCAATCCTCAGTTAGAAAGACAAATGGAATGAACATTGGAAGTAGGAGAAAATAAGTAACAGGACAGGAGCCTACCACAGAGGGCCTCTGAAAGACTCTACCCAGCAGTGTATCAAAGCAGATGCTGAGACTCCTAACCAAAACTTGGGCAGAGTGCAGGGAATCACATGAAAAGAGGAGTTAGTCCTCTTTTAGTTAGTTAGTTAGTTAGTTAGTTAGTTAGTTAGTTAGTTAGTTAGTTAGAAAGGACAAGAGCTCAAGATCCAAATATATCTGGATACAGGGATCTTTTCTGAGACTGATTCTCCAAACAAGGACCATGCAAGGATATAACCTAGATCTCCTGCTCAGATGGAGCCCATGGCAGCTCAGTATCCAAGTGGGTACACTAGTAAGGGGAACAGGGACTGTCTCTGACATGGACTCAGTGGCTGGCTCTTTGACCTCCCCACCCCCAAGGGAGAAGCAGCCTTGCTAAGCCACAGAAGAGGACATTGCAGCCAGTCCTGAAGAGACCTGATAAGCTAAGGTCAGATGGAAGGGGAGGAGGACCTCCCCTATCAGTGGACTTAGAGAGAGGCAGAGAGTACATGAGGAAGGGAGGGTGGTATTGGGAGAGAATGAGGGAGGAGGCTACAGCTGGGATACAAAGTAAATAAACTGTAATTAATATAAAAAATAAAAATTGAATAAAAAAATCCATACCTCCACAGGCCTGGGGGCCACTGAGCCATTCTAGGCACTTGCACATGTGCACTGCACCTGTGCAACCTACACCTACACTACAACCTGCACTTCTGCTTGCTTCTCCTTTTCACTTCACCCTTCCAGGTAGGTACACCTCCACACACACTCCTGCACTTGCATACTTGCGCCTGCTCCCTTAGCTTTCCTCCCTTAGCTGCATCTGAAACACTGACACCCTATTTCAAACCAGTGGACCTCTCTCATCTTCGTGAAGAACACTCCAGACTCCAGCAACAAACAGACAAAGTGAGCAGTACAGGTTCCAGGAACAATCAACAATGGCTACTGACCACCAGATGGCTAGAAGTAGGCATAAGAACACATCCAACAAAAATCAGGATATCATGGCTTCACCAGCAACCCCCAAAATCAATGGATATTTTAATTTATCAGAAACACAGGAAAATTATTTTAGATCAATGCTTATCCAGTTGTCACAGGCACATAAAGAGGAAGTGAACAAAGCTCTCAAAGAAATAAAGGCAAATATATATACACAAATAGAGGCACATAAAGAGGAAATGAATGAAAAAAATAGATACCATCATGAAAATACAGGAATCCAGGTTCAAATAGATAAAGGAAATGGTACAAGCATGAAAACAGAATTAGAATCAATAAAGAAAACACAAACAGACAAAGCACTGGAGCTGGAGAACTTAGAGAAAAGATCAGGAACCACAAAGGTAAGCATCACCAATAGAATACAAGGGATGGAGTAGAGAATCTCAGGCATGAAAGATACAATTGTAGAAATTGAAACATCTCTCAAATAAAAAATAATTTTATTTTTTTTAAAAGTCCCAAACATAATACATCCAAGAAATCAAGCACACCATGAAAAGACAAAACTTAAGAATAGGAATAGATAAAAAAGAAGATTCCAGGCTCCAAGGTCCAGAAAATATTTTCAAGAAAAATTATAGAAGAAAATTTTCTCAACTTAAGAAAGAGATGTTCTTAAACATACAATAGGCTTATAGAACACCAAATAGACTAGACCAGAAAAGAAACTCCTCACATCACATAATAGTCAAAAAAGTAAATCTACAAAACAAAGAAAAATTAAAAGCAGCAAATGAAAAAGGCTAAGTAACATACAAAGGGAGATCTATCAGAATCACACCAGACTTCTCAACAGAAACTACGAAAGCCAGAAGGGCCTGGGCAGATGTCATGCAGACTCTAAGAAAACACAGATGTCAAACCAGACTACTATACCCAGCAAAACTTTCAATCAACATATATGGAGAAAAGAAAATATTCCATGACAAAACTAAACTTAAACAATATCTGCACAGCCACACAGCCCTACAAAAGATACTAGCTGGAAAACTCCCATCTAATGACATCACCTACAGCCAAGAAAACAAAAGACATAGATAACCTCACAACAACAACAAAAAAAAAAAAAATCAAAAGAAAACAAACATACAAACACACTATAACCACCAACTCCACAAAAAGGAACTAACATTCATTGGTCACTATTAACTATCAACATCAATGGACTCAACTCTCCAATAAACAGATACAGACTAACAGAATGGTTGTGTAAACAAGATCCAACGGTCTGATGCACCCAAAAAACACACCTTTGCAACAATGACAGACACTACCTCAGACTAAAGGGCTGGAAAAATATTTTTCAAGCCAATGGACCCAGAAAACAAGCTGGGGTAGCTATCCTAATATCTAATAAAATAGACTTTCAATGAAAATTAATCAAAAAAGGTGAGAAGGGACACTTCATTCTCATCAAAGGAAAAATCCTGAACATCTATGCACCAAATACAGGAACGCCTGCATTCATAAATGAAACATTACTAACATCACACTTAGATCCCAAGAACTTAAAAGTGGGACACTTCAACAACCCAGTCTCACTAAGGGACAAATCATCTAGACAGAAGCTAAATAGGGAAATAATGACACTTACAGAGGTCCTAAATCAAATGGACATAACAGATGTATACAGAACTTTTCACCCAAACTCAAAAGAGTAAACCTTTCTCCCTGAACCCCACAGAACATTTTCCAAAATTGAACATATAGTCAGACACAAAGCAAGCATCAACAGCTACAAGAAGAATGAAATATTCCCTTGTATCTTATCAGACTATCATGGCCTAAAACTAGAACTCAACAGCAACAAAAATAGCAAAAAGCCTACATACACATGGAAACTAAGAAACTCTCTACTCAATGACAGCTGGATCAGGGTAAAACAAAAAAAAAAATTAGAGACTTCCTAAAATTCAATGAAAATAAAGACACAAATTACCCAAATTTATGGGACACAATGAAAGCAGTGCTAAAAGGAAAGCTAATAGTATTAAGTGCCTTCAGAAAGAAGTTTGAGACAGCTCATATAAGCAAATTAATGGCACACCTGAAAGCCCTAGAAAAAAAAGAAGCACATACACCCAAGAGGAGTGGAACCTTGGAAATACTCAAACACAGGGCTGAAATCAATAAATTAGAAACAAAGAGAACAATTCAAAGAATCCATGAAACCAAGAGCTGGTTCTTTGAGAAAATCAAC